GATCAACAAATGAAATGTAAATCAAATGAATTGCTTACTTATTTAATCATAGTTTTGTAGCCATAACTCATAAATACTTAATAACGTGCAGATTAAAATGTGTGATCTAGAAGGAAATACGAAATCAAAGTACTTACCCCAAAGTATGACAACTGTATGTTACCAAATCAATTATATTTTATCCTTCATCTTTGATATTAGAATAAGCATTAATATAAATAAAATTATCAACCAGACAGACGAATAAATTTGAACATCCAGTACGAGTGATGCGCATCACCAGAATTAACGGTGCACTCAGAATAAAGTCAATCTTTCTCCATCAGTTCGAAAAAAAGTCTTGGTACAAAAGGAACAATCAAATTTTGATGGCAGTCATTAAGCGTACTTGATTAATCATGGTATTTCTGCTTTTTCTTCTTTAAATCAGGAAATTTCAGATCTCACAAACACGTGCGCGCGAAGAGTTCTCGAAAGGAGGAAGAAGCTGAACAAAAATTATTTTCTGCAACGACGTACAGGAAACAGGAGTAATTATTTTCTTGAATCTTCATGTAAAAATCTCACTAAAAAGGATTATGTATAGCAGACAGCATCGAAGGAACAGCAAAGAGAAGCAGGAAAATGGCACATCGCATCTGCCAGGGAAAGAACAGACCCAAGCCCGTCCTACATCCTCGAACGCCAGCAGCAGAAGAGCGAGAAACCGGTTGTTGCAATCTTTTTCGTGTTGTCTTGAGCGGTTGCGGTTAGCACACCTGACGCTGAATAACGTGGAGTCTTGCCTACACACTAAATAAATGTTTTTGTGGTGCATGCGTGCATACTGACATATAATAATTCAAGTAATGCATAAGTGCCGCCTCAAATATAATATTCTTTTCGTGCTTCCTAAACAATTAAACCAATCTTACTTTCTCTTGCAGGTAAAAGAACAGGCGTTTACTCTAACGTAAATTTATTTTTCGTTACCAGTATCGGGCCCACCAGCGGCCGAGCGGTAAAGTCGCTGAACACGGGTAGTTCGGTCCGAGGTTCGAATCCCGCGAACGGGCTGGCTGCATTTGCGTTTTCGTGGTTTTCCCCATGTGTAACGTGTATACAAGCCAGTTTCCCTTAGAAAGTCCTCCACGAAGGCATCCCTCCCCTTAGGCAGATAGCCCTCGAGGCTTTGCCATAATCTCACACACACACACACGTTACCAGTATCATAATATTCGGCGATAAAAATGAAAATATTGTTTAAAACGTTTTAAATAACTTCTAAACTTTTTTTTATTATGTTAAAAGAAGATTGAATTTAAATTTGTAATTTTTTTACTAATTCGAATACTCACATTCTCACTGTTAAATTTTGAACAACTACATGACATTTACATTCAAAACAAATTGCTTATGATGTCAATAAATACATAAAATTCATTAAACGGCGATAATGTCCAAAGCCAGTGCAAAAAAACTATGCATAATGCATAAAGCGCTTTTGAGACAAAGGTATCGATCTTCAAGGAGACTTTAATTCCTTATCTGTTCCTGTATAGTTCGATAGTCAGTCTTCCGTTTCCCAGTTTGCAGCGAACCTACGGAAGGAAACCTATGATCCGAAAGGGCCAATACAGACCTTTAATCGTAGTACGATCACGTTCGAGCTTTTCCGAACTCTATTACCGGCGAAGGAATTTACTTGTGTCCAATGGGAAGCGGAACAACTCGTTTGGACCAGTATCACCCGACAGAAAGATCGTTGATGGGTTGAATAAACATGCTGAGAATGTCAGGAATGTTTCCAGAGAGGCGAGTTTAGAAGAAAGTACGAATAATTCCCCTGATCGTCTCTGTATTTGCTTTAGATATCACCCCCTTTCTTCCTTTAAACAACGTGTTTGGAATGCCCGACACTTCTGCTACCGTCAGCAAGCTCTCAAATCGAGATCTAGCCCCAGAGTATTCAGGTTTGTTATAATTAACGCAATGTAACATTCAAGTATTTTTACTGTATTTTTATCAAGAAATATTCTAAAAATAGCTCCAAATTTATTACGTCAGTTTAATAAATTTAGTTTTTGTTTTTTCGAAATAAATTTCTCTTATTTTCAATTAAGAAAGAACGAGTATTGTACTGAAACTCTAAAATTAAAATGCGAAAGAAAATCAGCAATTTTTAATCTTTGGATAGAGAAAGAACAGAAATTGAAAGCTTAGAAAGATATGCAAACTGAAATTCCATGGGAATACATAGCAGGTTGAACTGGGAAGGACAATAACTTTCTTGATTAACACAAATTGCAGAAAATTTTAAAATTAAATAGTATTTTATTAATATTAAACGTATATATAAATAACATATATATAAATATAAACATATATATAAATATAACATTAATATGATGTTCATTCTGACATGCATTTTTCACGGAACGATTAAGTTACATAGATATACAGAATAAGTGAAAACAGAATGCCAGGATTTCAAAGTATTACTATGCAAAATGCGATTAATGTATTTATTCAAAAGATATAGGTATCATAATCAATTTTTGAATGTTCACTTTAAATACAAGCTCCTCACAAAATTTAAATACAAGCTTCTTTTTTTGTACTTTCATACATCAAATTTGTGATGCAATTCTTGTCAAACTTTGTGTAGAATGTCTGTATCGATACACGATGTTCTTACTTTATGCTCCTTTACTCATTCAAAAAGGTAAAATGTTGATTCACTAACTTTTCAGAAAATTCCTCCTTCTCCATCGACGTCAGAAGTATCACAGAAAGATAATCGACGGTCCATATCTTCACTAGCGTCTACATCCCAAAACGGCAGCCTATGAGAGAGGCGATTCTATTATTTTCACCGGGGAGTAGGGAAGTTAGAATGGTTTTGTGAGGAACGCCAACAGTCAGTTGGACGATGTTTGTTTACATTTGGAAGTTCAGAAAAATTGCTAAAGGTGGATTGCCTTAGTTTCTACGGTTACTTTCAGGGAAATATTAGGCAGTGTTTTTGGTTTGCTGATAAAGGGCAAAAGATAATTTACCTTTATAAATCCGCGTTTATCTATTTAAACTTCAGAAGATTTAAATGAAGTGGATATATTCAACACAACAGAACGCAAGCTTAAGAATTGTAAATCCTTTAAAATCCTTTAAAAACAATAGATCGATAATTAATAATATTATTTATAGTTTCATTATTAAAAACTTTTTATAAATGCATAGTTATCATATAATTAACAATTCATCCATGCATTATCTCATTTTTTATTATAATTAGAAGAGAAGATATTTTTTACAGTAATGTTCAAAAATTTGCTTTGTCTTTTAAAAGATTTACAAGTCTTAAGATTGTGTTCTGTTGTGTTAAATTTAATCGCTTCATCTTAAATCTTCTGAAGTTTAAATAGATAAACGCAGATTATAAAAGTAAATTGTCTATTTGCCCTCTATCAAGAAACCGAAAAAACTGCCTACTATTTCCCTGTAAGTAACCGTAGAAACTAAGGCAATCCACCTTAGCAATTGTTTGAACTTCCAAATGTAAGCAAACATATAGTCCACTGCCATTGCATTCCTCAGAAAACCATTCTAACTCCCCTATTCCCCGATGAAAATAATAGAATCGCCTCAGTCATAGGCTGCCGTTTTGGGATGTAGACGCTAGTCCATATCTTCTCGTCTCAGTTATTGCACCAAGGGCAAACGATACAGCTTCATCCGCAAATGCTTCCTAAGAACCCTCCGCATAGTTTTCTGAGGTGCACTCAGTTCTCGTCCATCACGATATGTAGATTTTTGAGCACTTTTTACGGCTGTCCTGAATACGCTGAACTACCGAAAGATAACCTGTTGCTTTTCCTTTGCATATATAGGCTCTTTGTTGAAATAGTTAAAGCCGGTGACTAACCGCCTTTTAATTCAGCGCTATCTCTCCGTGTTTGTTCAGAAATAGCATTGAACAGTGATAATAAATTTGCTTACATGATACTGAAGCAGAGAAAACGTTTTGTGCAGCTGTGTCGGCATGTGACCAAATATATAACTTCTATGTCTTTGACGAAGGCAATCTTAATTCTTTGTCATCGCATAAACTCGTTATCGCACGAGTTTACAGAGATCGCACTTACGGCGCTATCTATTGGAGAAATATAAAATTACAAATTGTTATATGTAAGTTATTTATATTACCATTTACAGTGTGTAGCTTTGAATAATTATATTCCACGTATATAAATATATTCCACGTAGTAAAGCTTTGAAATCCCGGTATTCATTTTGAACTACCCTGTATTATGCACTTTTAATTATTTTGAATGAAACTAGATGTAATACTTAATTTGTCGAAAACGAAATAGAATACAAAATCTCATTTTTTAAGCATTTTAAAAAAAATTTAAATTAGCAGCAGAAAGCTTTGAAATCCCGGCATTTATTTTAACTTACCCTGTATTATGTACCTAATTATTCTAAATAAAACTATATGTAATATTTAGGTTAGTCAAAAACGAAGTAGGATACAAAATACCATTTTCTTAAGCAATTGTTTTTAATTTTAAATTAGCACCACTTTAGGATTTGGCTGAAACCTTTTGGTTGTAACTAAATTGATTATAAGCATACTCTTTTAGAAATGAAGTCGAAGATCCATTTATAAAAATTTCGAAGAATTAAATTTCCTTAATTTAATTATTTTAGTGACATTTAATTCGGAAATTTAAAATAAGGTTTCATAGCAACAAATAAAGATAACAATAGTGTATTTACGTAAAAGTTGATGAAAGTTCTTTAATTTAAAGGTACCGTTGAATTTCTAGATTTTTAAAAAGTCACATAACTGCTTCACGAGTCATTAACTTCAAATTAACAGATAGAGTAAAGAATTATTTAAATTAACTAGCTAAGCCTTGCTTGAAGGATAATTGTTAAATGGGTAAGACAGTTGTTTTGTTAGTATTTATTATATCTGAAAAACTATAGCTAGAATTATTTGAATTGTAACTTACCGGCAACATTCCAATTTCATACTTTCCTAGTTCAATAATTTGGAGTGTTAGAAATCACTATAATGCCGTATCTAGATATTTTTGATGGACGTATTCTGTGGCAGGAGAATCTGTGACTCTTCCCGTAAAGAAAACTAAAACAAGCAAACGTAGAAATGATACATTTAAAAAAGCATACTGAAACATTTTACATAACATACATATGCTCTAAATATTATCACAGATAGCTGGAGTTATATGCGTTATTTTTTAAATTCGATACGAAAATGCTTTTCCCAGTACGTTGATTATAAAATTCAAATAATTAACATTTATTGCAGGTTAATACTAGACAACTATTATGATTAGTGCATATTTTAAGTGCAGACTAGAACTTAAATTTTCAAATTTGCTTGAAATACTTTTTATTTGCTGCCTTTTTAATAAGCAGCTGTTTGCATAGATGAAAATCCTCTTACATTTCATTAATGGGTATAAGTTGGATTATTTTGTGGTTCACGTTTCGCAACTTTTTACATTTTTATGATGTTATTTCTTACTTAACATCCATATTTTTTACGACAGCTCATTGTGTTCAAGAATCAAAATGTGATTTCAGATATCACCTTCTTAAGCGTTTTAAATACATAAGTATTCCATGATTACTCTTTCGTTAGTTAGAAAGAGTTATGGCACTGTTTCAACATAAAAACGTATATTCAACATTGGTTGTAAAAATGCGTGGCGATTCTTTCACGCTATAAATACGGATCCAATCACGATTTAACTGGTTTCCTAACTATAATTCTTTTTTCTTTGGTGGGAAGCCAGGGGTAAATATTGATTTTAGTTCAAATCATCCTATTATCAATGTATTCCAGAAGTCTAAAGTATTTTGCGCGCGAGGACATAGATTTAAAACAGCTATAAAATCAGAATAAGTTGCTTAATGTTTCGCTGACCAACTTGTAGTTTTCTTTGATAGCTTAACATTCTTCTCTGAATTTGCTTGAAATCAAATAATGAAATGAATGCTTGAAATGATAAGTATAAAATCGAAATATGAAGAAGTAAACGTAAATATTCTGAAGAAATTTCAAGATCATTTCGGAAATAATAATTTATCTTTACTAAAGTAGATTATCCTACTGCAGATATAAGTAGTTGCCAGAGAATGATATATTTTCGAGCTGTTGATTATGAATCAACTGCTGCTGGTTTAGTCTCAGATGCCAGTGGATTAATATATTCCCTAGAGTATTCTGAATTTTTTTAAATTCAGTGTGTGAAAAATATTTGAATGTTATCCAGCATGACAGATTGCACTACGACTCAAACTCCAATAGAATTTCCAATAATAATAAAAGATATTTAGGTCTAGATAAAATGGAAGTTAAGATTTTAATAAATTTATTTTTATTTTTCGGAAAAGTGTTATTTTAATTAAATTTCTGATTAATTTAATTTCTTAATTCGGTTTAAATTTGAAAAATAAAATTTGGTTTAGGTTATTTAAAATTTACGATTAAAAACACAAACAAATTAAAAATTTAAGTAATTCTTAATTTTAATATTTAAAATTCGTTTATTTTTATTTATTCAGTGATTGATACAGACTAAGGAAATTTAGTGTTATTTGGAAAGAATGGTTTTACAGCTGCCTTAAAATTACTATTATTTGTTTTAAACTATCTGTGGTGTGGGCAACCATCTAAAATATTTAATGTAAAAAAGAAATATAGGAGGTGTGACACACACACACAAAAAGAAGAGACTGGACCAATAAATAATTGCACTTACAGAATCAGTTCTCCGTGACATTATCACCTTCAAATTAGTCCCGTTCAGTATTCACACACTTCTGCATTCGGTTCTGCCATTGCTGATAGTAGTTTTGGAAGACCCTTCAGGGGACGCTCCGTTTTCGCCTGAACCTCTTCAACTAAAGAAAAATGGCTTCCCTTTAAGCAAGATTTAACTTTAGGACATAAAAAAGTCGTATGGAGACAAATCAGGTAAATAAGAAGGATGCCCCATCACATTAATATTTTTGTTGGTCAGAAAGTGCTTGACAGATAGGGCCGTGTGAACGGGTGCATTGTCCTGGTGCAACGGCCACCTATCACTCCACAACTGTGGCCTTTTTTTCCCTAATTTTTTCACGAAATCTTTCTAGTACTTCAGTGTAGTAGTGTTGATTAAAAGTCTGATGACCGGGAAAACACTCAATCATTACAATTCCATTAATGTCGAAAAAGACAATTAACATTGCCTTGAATTTTGACTTTTAGATGCTTGCTTTGTCCCTTCCCTGTGAAAGCCGCTTATGCCATTCAAAACACACGTGCACGAGACAATGCCACCATCTCCATAAGTCTCAGAAAACATTTGAAATGTTTCCTGACTGATTTCTTAAGTTTCACAAGAATTTTAATGTTGATTCGCTGTTCGGTTTTTACCTTAGACATTATTTTCCCGGCAGAACGCAGTTGCACATGTTCACTCAATGACGGAGTACTCCCAACTGGCGTGATCGGTAAGTCGAAACTGGCCTCATGGATAGAGGAGGTATGTGGGATGACGTCATTAAAACAGTTGTTGTCAACTCCACTTTTTCCAAGCTAGTCTCTTTAGTCTTAATCAAGTTACCCTGCTAAAATGCGCCATAGAAACCAGTAAAACATTTAATGGGTACTCATAAAACTTTGTGGGTCTCTATTGACTTTTACTGGTTTCTCTTGGTCTCTGTGGGTTTTTCTTAGTTTCCAAATGCCCCATAGAAACCAGTAAAACTTTCTACTGGGTACGTATAGAATTTTTGTTTGTCCCTACTGACTTTTACAGGTTTCTATTGATGTCTGTGGGTTTTCTTACTCGTGGGTTTTTCTTACTGGTATCAATTGACACCTATACAACCAACATCAATGTCAGAATGTTTTACTGGTTTGTATTGGTTAATTTTCTATCTGACGTTAATAGACTTCTTGTAAACAATAAAAGTAATAGAATGAAAATATGATCTCTTTAAGACCATCAGAGCAATCTGGGAACGCAGGTGGTCGTGTTAGAGAGGGTTTTCACTAAATATGTTTATTTATTTGATTTAAATTTTTTTTCGGAAACAATAACAGTAATCATATACACCACACACAACGAGGTGTCTCTAAGGCGACCAGCCGCAAATTACATTTCTGATATTACAAATAAACACCGGTGTCAACCAACATCTCTTTAACGCAACCAAGTTCATTCACAATTGCAAAACTTATTTCTCCGTGTTTTTATGACGTCATGAAAAAAATTTCCCCTCCCCCTCTCAGAAGAAGTTTTCCAAACAAGCACTATCGGGCCATTCTAGTTAATGTTGTGCGATGTTTGTGTTATGGTCCTCGTTAATGTAGTAATGCAATATATAATTTACTACGATTTACTGTATTACAAATTTTACTATGTTTAACTGTTTAGAAATTAGTAATAAATAATAAAATACCAGCACTGACTGTGAATATAAAAATAAATACCACTAAAGCCATAATCGTGTCTAATGCTTGAAAGAACTTTGGTGATAGCTGACTAGTTCTGAAATCGAGTTTCTGTGTGAAATTGAATTTCCATCTTTACTTTTATCCTAAAAAGCAACGTGCTTAAAGACTGAAAAGTGATAATTTCAGACTTAGTAATTTAGTTCAGTGTGTTTACATCAGATGCACAAATATAGTTTTCGCATTCTACTGAAACTATTTTTGACATTTTTTTTATTACAGTTTAGAAGTACTTTTTAAAGCTTGTTCATGTAGATGCTTTATCATTTGAATATTATGTACTAATTAATTTGAGGTATCTTAAAAATAAGTAAGGTATCTTGAAAATAATCTTGCATGATTCAATTTTCAATTTTTCGACTAATGTGATGTGGCCGAGCAAAAAGAATGTTTTTTATGTCTTAAAAAATTTACTAATTATATTTCGCCAGGAAAAAAGTAAGCTTTATTAATGAAGTAAACATTGAAATATTTAATGTGTTTATTACTTATTGAATGAGGTTGACAAGACATACAAGCTAAGGAATCTTTTTCCCATTACTTAAATTGGGCGACATTTAGATGATCATAGTAGCATACATTGTATTTTCTTTTCGGTCTATTTTCCTTTACAAGTATAAGACTAGAACCACATTTTTTCATTCAATATTTTGTGCTATTTTGTTAAAAAACATATAATAATATCAATGCATAATTTAATTTTCATTATTATTAGTTTGATGAAGAAAATTTCAGATTTGTTTTCATAAATTGCTTTTGAAATAGAAATAGATTTGTGAATGATTAATAGAGTTTATGCAATATAAAATGTACTAGTCTTGGGAGTATAAAAAGTGAATTATTTATTTTAAAATATTACATTAAATGAAACCTCATATAGTGGTTATTTTCTTAAATGACCACCTCTGACAGTGACAAGTCGGAACATAATTAAATAACAGTACTTAAAATCACTCAGTCAGTTTTGTCAGGCTACAGGAAACTGGCACTATCTGAAATTGTGGAGTTGATTGTTTTAGGAAAGTTTCACTGTATTATCAATTGATTTAGGTATAGTAATTTTTACGTGGGTATGAATTTTGCAGAAGTAATTAAACGTTTTTCACAAGACAATTAAAACCAAAACTTTTCGAATCATGAGTCTTGTAAGGGCACTGTTTTAGCATTGCCTTAAAATGTAGTTAGAGTAAAATTTAAACATTATTTTCTTTCATTAGTTATACTGCGGAAATGGTAGTTGCAATTTTCTGCACTAAATTTATTTGTTTGTATAGATATTAACGTAAATAAAACTATTTGTAAACAAATGTAACTATATGTGCTATATCCGCTTAATTGCAATGATAGTAATTTTAACTGCGTTTGTATGAGGCTGTACAGAAGATTTATTTATATATTGCTAAGTACTGCACTATATAAATTTCATTTGGCATAGTAAATACAGGAAATGCTCAGCATGAGGTATTTTTATATTATATAATATACTGTCAATAACAGTAACTGCCTTTTCAGTACTTTAAATTTTACTATGTAGAATTTTTATGGTTCAAAATACTATTTTCCTTACACTTTTTAAAGTACTTTTTCTACAATAGAAATCTAAATGACTTATA